GAATTTAAAGGGACCTCTTTTAAGCATGGTGGGACTGGCCTCTTAAGCATTTGTTTTTAAATCTAGCACTTGGTTCCAGCTAATGAACTACAGGATGTAAGGGGCAATCCAGTGTAGTAATCCGAGCCTGTCCATTTTAGTTCAGAGTCTTAACTTGCAGAAACACGAACGTCGAAACCAGGCTGAGGGTTAATCTCCCAGATGAGAAAATTGCACTGCCTCTTAGAGAAACTCTATTGCTAAGTCCTAATTTCACAATAAATAGTTTACAGTGACTCAGTGATTCTCTTGGCTCAAAAGAGCTCTTAAAAAAAATTCCGGGGTGGCTCTCTGGCCTGCTAGATGTCTTGCTGTGAATACTACTGTTGGGAGTCCAGGATTTTTTTAACACCCAATTAACTTAGTGTAATTGGGATAGAGTTGCAACTTCTTTGCCTCCAGCTGTGAGTCATAATCTGTTTAGCACCTGAGTGTTATTTCACTTTATTTTTAGTACCCACCCAACTCATGGTTCCGAAGAGGAAAAACAAACCCCTCCATCAATCAGGATGTTTTAAAAGTGTAGATTACTTGTAGTTAATTTAAAGTGGCATTTAAATGGCCATTCCCAGGTGATTTTAATGCCATTATTAACTTTTTTTGGACTATGCAAAGCAGGGGTGGGAAACCTTTTTTGGGGGGGGGAGGGCGCTGACCCACAGAAAAATCAATCAGGGGCTGCACACAAGTGAGAAGCAACACACCTCTCACTAAGGCAGCCCCCTGACTGACAAGGAGAAAGACATTCTCCACATTCCCCTCACACACCAGAGTCTAGCAGGGCCAAGGCTAGTAGATTTTGCATGCTCCAGCCCTGTGGGGAATGGCGAGGGTCTGGTACACCAGCGTGGGCTCCCCAATGCTGGGGGGAGCCCTGAGCCTCAGGGACCAGATCCAGGCAAGCTAGGGGCCGCATCCAGCCCTGGGGTCTTAGGTTTCCCACCCATGATGTAGGGGATACCTTTGAAAAATAACCATTGGACCACAGATATAGCCAGCAATGTGCCACCCTTGCTACATTGTTGGGAGAACTGTAAAATGAGGTGAGAGGTTCTTAATGCAGAAGTCAAACAAGGAGGGTGGCAAAATGATTGGAAACTTGTTCCTCTTTGGGCTACCAGTTCAGCTTAAAATACATTTTGAAATGAGAAATCATCTGGAGAGAAAAACCTAATCCAGATGGTTTTTGTGTTGTTCAGTGGTATTTGCCTCATTGCGTTTTGATCCATGCAGGTAATTTCAAGGAAATAAATTTTATAGTGTGTCCAAGCTGCGGCAAAGAAATACTAAGAGCAGGGGGTTAAAAGAAAATACTGCATTAGGCAAGCAGTTGAGAATAAAATATAATCCAACTTTACACTTTGCCTAGGGCTCAGATCTTTGGCCATAATTCAAACCACAGTGAAGACAAATTTGAAAAAAGCTTTTAAATCGTGCCAGAGATGGACCAAAGCAATCTGGATGGATAGGGAAAGGGAGACCTTATTCCAATGAGAGAGTACTGGATTGTTGTGCTGTTGAATACGGGTAACTAAGACAGAGGGTAGGTCTAGACTACATGCCTCTGACGACAGAGGCATGTAGATTAGGCTACCCATCATAGACAAAGAAGCGGGGATTCCCCAGCCGACTGATCCGCGTCTAGACTACGGCGCTGTGCCGGATCAGCTGATCGTCAGCACAGTGCGGCAGCCATGTTTATTTTAATGAAGCGGGGATTATTTAAATCCCCACTTCTTTTCCTACGCCGGGTAGCCTAATCTACATGCCTCTGTCGTCAGAGGCATGTAGTCTAGACATACCCAGAATATCTAATACATGTAAGAGTAAGCTGGGAAAGTGTTCTCATGTGTTAACCCGTCTTGAAACTGCACCACGGCTACCAGTTTGTTTGGCTTTATGTGCATGAGTCAGGAGCTTTTTAGATCAGGCCTATGACTATAAGCCTGGACTCTTGGAGCTTAAACAAGTGGGATGGGGACGTAACAGGCTATGGAATGAGAATGGTAATGGCCTACACTGTGTACTGGTGCAAGTGTCAGTGTGTAATTTTGGTACGTGGTCACTGGCTGACTCTACCCTGGAAGGTGCGGGGCCTATGGTGGAAGGGGCAGAGCTGGGGACTAGCTTCCCCCAGAGTTGCCTAGGGCCTGAGGCTATGAATGAAAAACACAGCAAAGGGCTTGTTGCTCCTGGTCCTGCTGCTACTGTGTTGCCTAGCAGCCACCTGGGGTTGCTGTGGCATTTGAAGGGCTAGCAGCTTCTGCCACTGCCACGGTAGTGCTGCAGCCATGAGGTGTGAGCCATTTAAATAAGATCCTGCTGCCTGAGCCACTGCATGGAAAATTGGTGGCACATGCAGCAGGATATAAATAGAGCTGGGGGGTTCAAATACAACAGGCTATATCGGTGCAAAAAGTTATCATATTTGGTGTACCTTAACGCAAAACAGATAAACTAACTAACTAACTTTCTTTCTTTCTTTCTTTCTTTCTTTCTTTCTTTCTTTCTTTCTTTCTTTCTTTCTTTCTTTCTTTCTTTCTTTCTTTCTTTCTTTCTTTCTTTCCCCTATTCAAATACAATTGCTCCATTAGCCTAAGGGCATAGCGGATTTCTAGGAATTAGAGCTTGACCTTAATATTTGAGTTTGTGTGCATGAGATACCAGGAGAGAGGTGGTCCTTGTGGTAGTTCCAAAACAGCCAAAGCTACATCACACAAGAGAGTTTGAGCTTGTAAAATCCTCAATATGCTTTCCAGACCACAGAGGTGCAGATAAGAGCAGAAAGGGAACATGTTAGCTTGGAGATGGAACAAAATCATTAAAATGATTAAGTTTCTTGTCTTACGGGGGCAACGAAATATCTGCTGAAGGTTGTATCAGATACAAAACTAATATCCATTGATTTAATACCTTATACCTGCACTGATACTCAAAGATTTGTACTTTTTAGGGCAGAATATTTTAACATGAAAACTCAGGATAGCTGGATAAGTCTAGATAGGACCTATAGAGGTTTCTCCATCCTTAGAAAAGAAAGCAACCACAAACTAACTCCAGGTAAATGTATACTATTTTTGGAAAGATTAAAAGCTGGGGTGGTGGTGAGGAAGCAGGCAGAAAGGTTTCTGTAACTATATCTGCATCTCCATTCCCATTCTATCTGCAAAAGGAAGCTATTTAAAAAGATGTGTGCATCCTTATTTAGTTCCTCTTTGTGGAGACTGTTTACTTCAGGCCATAGATGTGGTTATGTCATGTTTCCACTGTGTTTTTCATTCAGTGCCGCACTGCATTTGTGGTTTTTTTCATTTGTGACAGTCTAGTAACTGGAGCCATTTGTACCTGAGCAAATAATATCAAATCTGAATACTTTATAAATATTTACAGTATTTGGTGTGTCTCCCATTCACATCAAATGCAAAGTATAAAAAGCAAAAACAAACAGAAACAAACAGAACCCATGTTACGTTATAATAAATATTTACCGTACGTATTATTGACTAAAGCTTTCCATACAGCTATGTAGGGAGAGTTGGCAGCATTGTTTCTGCCAGGCAGTTCTATGTTATAATGTTCCCAAGTAAGCTGTCTGAAAATAAAAATTTGTGCATTAGGGATGATTGATGTCTGTGACTTGCTTAATTTTTTTTTTTTTTTTTTTGGCAATGAGGAGTCTTTTCTGCACATGTGGGTAGTGAATTAGGCAGAAGTCTGGGACTTTGTGGCACAGCTGCAGAATTCATTGGCGTGAGGGTCCTGTGAAAGGTTTGTAAAGAACATGACCCTTCATGCCCCGAAATTTTTTTAAGGGCAGATTCTAATTGCAAACAATCAAGTTCCCCAGCCTTGCTTACTACTCTGAATATGGGGCCAACGTTCACTGGAGCAGCAGCCTTGCCCCTGAACGAGTAAAAGAGTGTTCAACAAAACAAGGCTCATTGGGGGAACTTCAGAGTTTGAAAATGTGGAGCCTTCATTTTTTTTAACATAATGGCTTTATTCACTGAACCTATCGATACATGAGCACAAGAGCATTACAGCATTTCTGGACTCTTTCAAACAAAGGTTCGTCAGGCCCCGTTTAGGGAGCAAGCTCAGATTTGCACCTGCAAACTCATTCCCAGGAGGGACCTCCTGTGCTTTCATTTTTGAATCCCTTACTTTGCAGAGTGTTTTTTTTTTCTCCTGTTCATTCCTCTCTGCTCTGTCATGCATTTTCTCGTCGTCTTTTTTGTTCCTCTCCTTCAGGAAAGTTTTTAATCTTTGCCTCTTCTAGCTCAGTTTGCACTTAGAGGCACTTGTTCCCATAGCATCTCTCAACATTATGATCCCTGGTGAGGAGCTCAAACTAAGTGCATTCAAATCACCTTCCTAAGGGAGAATTTCCCAGAAGCTCTTTTATTCCCCTCAAGAGCACCATTCTAAATCCAGTCCTGGCTGTGCAGCATGATCCACAAAAGCAGCCTTTAATGCCTACTCAAAATCTTATTGAAATCTATGAGTAAAAGTCATAGATGCTGACTCCGTGGCCTTAACATCCACCAGCAGCCAGAAACCCTCCCACCTATGGCCTCCTGCCCACCATGATCTGCTCTTCGACCAGGAAGTGCTGAAGGGAAGGAGCAGGGACGGGGTGCCCTCAGAGAGGAAGCACAACTCAGTGAAAAGAGGCGGGGCAGGGGTGGGAAGAGACAGGGAGAGGGTGGGGGCTTGGAGGAAGGAGGTGAGTGAAGGTGGAGGCAGGGAGTTTGAGCAGCCCCGAAGCCCTAGAGGAAGCCAATGCCTGTGGTAAAAATATCAGGATTCGGTTCATTCTATTTGCAAAATAGGGCTGGTCCACACAAGACAACTAGGTACACCCTGTACACTGTAAATAAATTGACTTAAAACACGATAGACACTGATGGAAGAATTCTTCTGTTGACCTAGGAATCATCTCTCGGAGAGGATTTACTACAATGAAGGAAGAACGAGTTCCGTCACTACCGGTAAGTGTCTACACCACAGCGCTATGGCTGCAGAGCCGCGATAGCTTTTCTAGTGTAAAGGTATCCATATAAGGCAGCTCCCCACCAAGAGAGCCGATTTAAATTGACAGTGGAGCCATTAAAAGGCCCTTTTCGATTGGAAATTCTAGCCAAATTGTTCCCAGTTGACACCAGAAAGGAATGCTTCCCTCTAATGCACCCTGTAAGGCTTCTATTGTATTAACAGATTTCCTCTGCAGGGAGGGAGGAAGAACTTGCCCTTGTAAACAGAGAGGCAAAAGTGGCTGCGTGCACAGACCATGTGGTTTCTTGTTTCTGGGATGCTTTTCCAAAACAAGCAGCACAGCAGGGTGGCCCAGGAGGGTTCTGGTGCTGGAAGCAGCCTGCTCTCTACGTGGTCTGAGGATCCTGAGATCATTTCAAGCTGCATCCCGTAATAGGGTTAGAAAATCACAGTTTAGACCCTTTCTATACCATTCTGGCAGTAGAAAGGGACCTTAAAGTTGGTAGAATTTCCCCCTGAAAATGGTCCTTGCAGAAATCTATGTCGCCAGCCCATGGAGAATAAGTATAAAGGCTCTACATTAGCCCTTCTTTCAACTCTTAAAGTGTGGTGCACTTCAGCTACTTTCTACTTTCCGGGGACCAGAGAGTGCAATAGGTAGCTGAGTTTCACTTTGAGCAGCCCTGAGACTCATCTAACTTACATGAAGGGATGGGTACGTGTAGGGTAGAGAAAATGAATAAGGCAAAGTTTTTTACTTGTTCCCATAACAAAAAACTAGTGGTTACCAAATTAAATCATAGAATCATAGAATCATAGGACTGGAAGGGAGCTCAAGAGGTCATCGAGTCCAGCCCCCCGCCCTCAAGGCAGGACCAAGCTCCGTCTACACCATCCCTGACAGATGTCTATCTAACCTGTTCTTAAATATCTCCAGAGAGGGAGATTCTACCACCTCCCTTGGAAATTTATTCCAATATTTATTCCAATATTTATTCCAAAATGAACCAGTAGTAGGTTTAAAACAAACAAAAGCAAGTATTTCTTCATGCAACAGTCAACCCGTGGAACTCCTTGCCAGAGGATGTTGTAAAGGCTAGGATTTTAACAGGGTTCAAAAAAGAGCTAGATAAATTCAAGGAGGATAGGTCCATCAATGGCTATTAGCCAGAATAGGTAGGAATGGTACCCCTAGCCTCTGTTTGTCAGAAGCTAGGAACAAGGGATGGGATGGATCACTTGATGATTACCTGTTCTGTTCATTCCCTCTGGGGGCACCTAATATTGGCTGCAGTCAGAAGACAGGATACTGGGCCAGAAGGACCTCTGGTCTGACCCCGTATGGCTGTTCTTATGTTCTGCAGAATAAGGGAAGCAAAAAGGTGGATTGAAGCCACCTTTGTCATTCCCTTTCCCTCATTCATGTCCCACATGCAGAAATGGAGTAATCAGGACTCAGGCCCTCAAGGTTCAGCATCAAAAGGAAGCTTTCACCAACTTGACTCTGTGTTTCTGACCTTCAGTGGCTCATGCAATAGCAGACCTTTGAAATCACATCCTTTGGATTATGCCCTCTCCTCTTGACCCTGTCCCGGCCCTGTAGAATGGCAGACTGCCCTTTAACCAGCCATTCTGCCCAGCCTATATCAAAGTAAGTGAGCGACCATGAAAGTACCCTGCTTTGCTCTCAGAATCAGTGCGTCTCATCCCACGGCCCAGCTGCAAGCACTGTGGTTGCACCAGGGGTAGTTCAGGATTCATTAGCCCAACACAAGGCCACTGTCAGCAATGAAATTGGGGCGATTCTGCAATCCTCAAGACAGCCTCACTCTCAATATTACAGCGGCTCAGTGTGGAGGAAAGATTCCTCGTCCCTCTTGCCTTAATTGAGGGTCATCACTTGCACCCAGTGTGGATAGCGAGAATGCACAAAGAACAACCACCTTTCTCTTCTTGTCTCCCAAATGCAAATGCATCTCTGTCCTACCCCATAGCTGAGTCAGCTGGAAAATCATCCCGGGCATTGGCATGTAAATCAGCAGTGCACATACCACGAGTGCTTTCCTCTGTGAAAAATCACCCTTTTCATTAGAAACCACGCACAGATGAAGCAACCTGAAGCGGTTGTGGACGGCTGGGTCAGGCTCATTACAGTCGCAGGGTCCCTTCAGAAAATCAGGGTTCCATTTTAGTCGTCAAGTAGGGATGTAAGTTCCTGGTTCAAAATTTAACCGGTTAAATGCTAAGTGTAACCGATTAATCCTGGAGCAGCCCCCCGACCTGCATCACCCTGCGGCAGACCCAGACAGACTAGAGCCGTCCCCCACCCACGTTGTGCCATGGGTGGGATGCTCCAGCCCAGCCAGGCCTGCTGCACCGCAGATTCCTCTGGCCAGGCTGGACAGGGCCTGTCACACTGCATCACTTCAGCTGGGCTGAGCTGCCAGCTAACCAGTTACTGGCTAACCATGCTGGTAAGACTAAGGCTTGCCGGGTAACTGGTCAACCCTTTAAATCCCTATTGTCAACACAGTTTATACAAAAGCTGTGGAAAAAAAGATCCTCATAAATAAGTTGGGTTTGGGTATTTTTTTAAATCAAGTTTTAATTTTTGAAGTTTAGAGAGAGTGAGAAGTCACACATGACTAAATACTCAGAGGGGGGTGTATGCATATGTAGGTGCTGGATAAGTGAATATCTGCGGCATGAGTACCCTATAACATAACACCTTTCTTTCCTTAGGAGAATAGAACCCTTTTATTTTGAGATGAGGAAGAATACCTAGCTAGGTGATTTTAAGTTACATTATAATGACCAATGATATTTTGGTTCCCACACCCCTCTTTTTCCCACAGAACCTGCTACTTCTGTGTCCTCACAGACCTTTATTGTGCACAGCTGACCTCCAATGTAAGTGTGAAGTGGGAAATGGATTGAGGACCAGTGACTGAACTCTTTCTCCAAAGTAGACTAATTGTGGTGCAGAAGAGTTTGTGAAATCTTTTGCTATAGCTCTGCAGGTGGACAATGTTTAAATTTTACAGGGTGCTCTGGCCTCCTGCTATAAAAGCACCTTTGTGCAGGGATGGTCCATTGAAAACAACAAGACTCCAAAACCAGGGTCGTATATGCTGTGGCAGTGGGTACACTACATATTAATTTAAAAACTCTAAATAAACATAAAACTAAATTATTAAATAATAGAAACCATATTTTAAAATAATGACGCAGGGAACTGGAAGATGTGGGGTTCCATAGAACCCCCACACGTTGTGAAATAAACTGTTCATTCTTTGCCAAGTGCCTTAGTACTTGGAACTTCCAACTCATATTCCTTAATCCCATCGTTTTTTTGCAAAGGAAGTGATAAAAATGTGCTGCACTTGATGAATGCATTACTTCCTGTCTTGTGACATGAAAACTGGTAGATCACATGAGCAAGCAAAACACTACCTGGACTGACACTGACCAAAAGGCTAGTCAGCAAAGACTGGAGTATGTCACAGCTTTTACATCTCATGGGAAGACGGCCATTGACTGCAGTGATTTTTGCCTTAGGCCCTTATTTCACAACGAATCCCGTTGCAGTAGGATGGAGGCAGGCTTAGGCCTGGTCTACACTGGGAAATTAGGTCGGTTATAATTTTGCCACGCATGAGTGAAAAATCCAACCTAACCCACAGTGTAGCCATCACTAAATTGATGGGAAAATTCTCCTCTTCATAGAATCATAGAATCATAGGACTGGAAGGGACCTCAAGAGGTCATCGAGTCCAGCCCCCCACCCTCAAGGCAGGACCAAGCTCCACCTACACCATCCCTGACAGATGTCTATCTAACCTGTTCTTAAATATCTCCAGAGAGGGAGATTCCACCACCTCCCTTGGCAATTTATTCCAATATTTGACCACCCTGACAGTTAGGAATTTTTTCCTAATGTCCAATCTAAACCTCCCCTGCTGCACTTTAAGCCCATTACTCCTTGTCCTGTCCTCAGAAACCAAGAGGAACAAATTTTCTCCTTCCTCCTTGTGACACCCTTTTAGATATTTGAAAACCGCTATCATGTCCCCCTCTTGACCTAGTTACTATATCCCAGGTAGGTGGATTATCTGCACCAATGGGAGAAACTCTCCCGGGGGTAGTTAGGCTCTTCCTTGGTGCACTGCAATGATCAGCTGTGCAGTGGCAAAATTTTTAGCGTAGACAAGCCGTTAGAATTGAAGCGCTCCTGGCTCCCAAGTCTAGGCATCTCCTTAACATCACACTGACTCTCAACTACTATTTCCAGTTACTGCTGGAGTTCTTATGTAACATACCTAGGTCACCCTATGAGTTAATTCTATTGCTTTATTAGAGTATTTATTTGAATTGTATAAAAGAGGAGTAGTGAAATATGCATTTGTTTTACATGCAGGAAACTTTGGTGGTGGGGAGGAGGGAGGTTTGTGTGTAAATTCTTTTTTGTTTTCCTATTGTCAAATTCAGCGGCTAAACTTCCTTGGGAAGTGTATTTATCTCACCCACTACAATCCCCGATATACCACTGTGTCAGCACACAGATGCCAGAAAAGTCCCAGAGTTGGCTAATTAAGAACAGCCATACTGGATCAGAACAATGGTCCATCTAGCCCAGTATCCTGTCTACCGACAGTGGCCAATACCAGATGCCTCAGAGGGAGGGAACACAACAGGTAATCCTCACATGATCCCTCCCCTGTCACTCATTTCCAGACAAACAGAGGCTAGGGACACCATTTCTACCCATCCTGGCTAATAGCCATTGATGGACCTAACCTCCATGAATTTCTCTAGCTCTTTTTTCAACCCTGTTAAAGTCCTAGCCTTCACCACATCTTCTGGCAAGGAGTTCCAGAGGTTGACTGTGCACTGACTGAAGAAATACTTCCTTTTGTTTGTTTTAAACCTCCTGCCTATTAATTTCATTTGGTGACCCCTAGTTCTTATATTGTGGGAATAAGTAAATAACTTTACC